TTAGAGCTGTTTTAGTTTAGTTTTAGTAAGAGTTTTACGGCACTTGCAACACAACATTAAGGTCATATGACTGCCCAAGATTAGAGGTGTTATAAGGGAATAAAAATCATAAAAAAGCAGGAGAGATCAGGACATGTTTGATAGGAAAAACAGAGCAAATCACACAAGAGCACCCGCCAACCACCATCAGAGCTGTTTATTTTGACAGACAGACAGGCAAAAACAACAGAGGGGAAGTAAAGAAGTATGTCCTTCCTCTCACCAGCGGCGCCCTCCAACAACCCGCTTTGACAAAGTGAACAGTTGGTTAAAAATCTGAAATCTTAATTTTTTTTCCATTTCCACCATAAGACATTAAGAAAGAGCTTCTTTGAATTGATAGAATACCCACACTCAGTCTGGGGATCGGTTGTGGTTGAAACTGCAGTAGCACGTGCATTTCATCGACAAAAAAAAGAAGAAAATACATGTAGTTTCAGACACAGTAACACAGAAAAGAAGTTCACGTTTCACTTTTATTTGCCTGGTACAAAACAGCAAGTACATATGTATAAACAATGGTAGTCACACAAAGAGGCCACACCCAGTAAAGCTCATTTCATAGAAATAGGAAACCCCCCAAAAAAATACAACTTTAACATTCTGTATTTCAATGACAGGCACCAGAAAACTTTTCTTTAGGCACATTACTGTTTATGAGAGTGAGAGCAAAACTACTTGATCTACTGATCTACACATGATAGGTTTAATGTAAAGTTGTTCTATGATGGGATGAAAGTGGAAAACAAATGTCTGAAATTTCTGACTAGCCCGTGTATGAGCAACGCCACTGGAAACAACGACTGAATAATTGGTATTCTTCATGATCTTCTGTTTTATGTCATACTCACTAGACTACGGTCAATACTTTACTCTGCAGTGTGAATGATAACAATAATAATAATAATAATAATAATAATAATAGTTCGTCCTTCAATATCTGCTGATGACCAATTTATCAGCAGAGGATAATATACTTTTTTTGGTTACATCAAATTAGAAGAAGAAATAGGGATTACGATCACTTTGGGGCTTCACTTCTGACCCATACGACCAATACTGGCAGAGAAGAGTTCGCCACATTTTGAGCAATTAAAAGCTTTATTTTCTTTTGTGGATGTGTGCAGCTTGCAGGCTTCTCTCTTGGCTTCAGCATTTCTCAGACGGCTCGAACCCCCGAACCCGTAACCTCACGATTACGAGTCCAGCAGCCTAACCACTAGGCTACCGACGCCACTTAGCTTCTGAAGAAGATAAAACACACAAAGCTTATGGAGACAAAACTACAAATGAAACAGTTTTAAACCAAGCTGACGAAAATATGTGTTTAAGCAACACGTACTGTCTGATCTAGAAATTTACTGCGATGTTTTTAATTAACTTTTCGGCCAGCTTCACGTGTTCCACCCTGAAAGATGATGGGAAACGATGCGCGCTCACCGAGTTACAGTCGGTCATACTGTCAAGTTCGCAAAATTTGAGCGCTGAATGCTGAAGCTCTTGACCCCTTCGAAGCACCACACCTGCCATTACACACTTCCAATGCTATACAACCAGATGACCAAGACCACAGGGCTCAAGATTTGAACAGAGCTGCACTCCGTTTGTTGTTGTTGTTGTTGGTGTTATCGATCCAGCAACAGCTGGGCTCTCGCCCTTCTGTCCAATGCCATGTAGTGATAAGTGCAGGTTTGCTGCAGTTGCTGTAAGGTTCCATAGAGTGTGTTGTCAATGTTAGGTCTCGGAGGGAGAAGGGTAGCTCTGATGTCATTTAGGGCTGTGCAGTGGAACAGGTGATGAGCTGCACTCCGTTTAAAAACAAAAATGTTGACCTGTCGGACACACGCCTCCAACAAACTTGTTTATCAGCATCTCAAGAAGACCAACTATTGGACAGCCAGGCTCGAGATAATTCTTCCCAACAGCAAGTGCGTCAGAAAAAAAAAAAGATTAGAAAGAAGGGCTTTCTTCATCTTCAACTATTCACTGCAATAAAGCGCTTAAACAGATGAAACTGATGGATAAACACAAATTCTTGCCTGGATGCGATCGAGACAAATGCTCTAAAGAAATGTCATGCCAACTTTTCAGCTTCCCAAAGAGAAGAAAACAACGCAATATTCTGAACGAAGTTTTCGTGAACAAAAATCTTTTCTCAGAGAAACGATCCAGTTAAGGCCGACTACATCAAAGAAGAATTTGAAACTCACGTAAGACCCACTTCACGATCTACAGATTCCGGAGCAAGGCTGGTGGCAAACCGCTACACATCACAGACGCTGAACAAGGCTGGTGGTTACGTACCTGTCTGCCAAAGCTTTCTCTTGAATACGTTGGGCCAGGGGGCTTCCTCAAACGACAGAATGGTACGCACAGCTTTCCAAGACGTTGATATGAATGAACCAGAGTAACTGTAGCATCAGGGAAGGGAACGAGGTAGTGTTGAAAGACAAGCGGGGAATGGCTACTCCGAACAAAATAGACCATTCTATGATCATTCAGAACACTGAAGCTTATTTTGTTTGTTTGTTTGTTTGAGTAAAGGGAAGCACATCGACACAATAATGGTCATGTCATTTAGTGCTAGGAAAAGGTAAGACAGAAATGGTGATTACGTAATGTAGGCCTACCAGTCTGCCCAAGTTTTTTTCCCTGAATAATACATTATTGTAATATGTTGGGACAGGCTTTCTCAAACGACAGAATGGTACACACAGCTTTCCAAGACGTTGATATGAATAAACCAGAGTAACTGCAGCAGTAGTGAAGGGAACGATATAGTGGTGAAAGACAAGCGGGGAATGGCTACTCCGAACAAAATAGATCATTCTATGATCATTCAGAACACTGAAGCTTATGTTTGTTTGTTTGTTTGTTTGTTTGTTTGTTTGTATGTTTGTTTGAGTAAAAGGAAGCACGTCGACACAGTAATGGTCATGTCATTTAGTTTTAGTGCTGCGAAAAGGTAAGACAGAAAGACAGAAACAACAGATGGAAAGTATTAATTTAAAGTAGAAGTAGAGGACCGACCTGTGGCGCCTTCCAACTCCAACCTCCAGCCATTGAAGTTGAAGCTCATAACCCTGCAATGTCTCATTACAAAAGGGAGCATGCTCCCAACAGGAGATACCTACCAAGTGAACTGACCTTTTAGTTTAGTTTTAGTAAGAGTTTTACGGCACTTGCAACACATTAGGTGATATAAGTGCGGAAAATTAGAGGTTTTACAAGAGAGTAATAATCACGAAAAAAAAGGAGGAGAGATTAGGACAAAAAATGTTTGATAGGAAAAAAGGAGCAAACCACACCAGAGCACCCGCCGACCAACCGCAGTGTGAACTGTCCGCCAAAGACAGGTACGATAAATGTCTTAGTACTCCTAGGTCAACTGGGACGGTTGGCACAACATGCTTCTATGACTCTACCCAGAAAATATTCTCCCACAGAAACATTCCCTTAGCAAAGCTTGAAAATGTGGAGATGGTATAGGTTTAACGCCCCTATCAACACTGTCAGGTATTTTTATTAAGAGGCGGGGCCTCCAAGTTTAACGTCCATCTCCGAAAGGACCGAGCCAAATAGGAAATTCGCTTTAAATTAAAGTTCGTGTTAATGCCTTTCTCAAAGACACAACGGCCCCAACGCATTGAGGCTATTTTCAGAGAAAGAATCTGTCATGGACTTCGACGATTTGCAATCTGCAATAAAGACGGCTGGCTGCAAAGTGATATATATATATAGAGAGAGATATACGTGTGTATATTTATATATATATACACTGACTCGGTGACTGCTAAAGCTTTCAACAGCCTCTCTTCAGGTCTTAGTGACTACAATCTTACAAAAGCGGGAGCTAAAAGACCATAGTTCAGGGCAATTGTTTACCTCAAATTTCACACAAAGGCTCGTAAAAAGATGGAGAACTCAAAAGGTTTGGTTTTCTGAAGAAAAAAAAATGCCACCAATGTGAAGGCAAGATCAAGTCCTAGAGGGTATTGCGAAGAAAAAGAAAGAAGACATTATTGAAAAGCTTCTACCGCTGTTGCTTCCTATTGTTGTAAGTGTTTTACGGCACTCGCAACTGCATAAGGTCATACGAGCGCGCTGGACGTATTAAACATTTTCAGTTTGGTAGGAATTTTGAATTTTGCCCAGGTGGCGGCCGAAGCCTACTCTTATCGATTTTAGGACCACCAAGGGATCTTTAACGTGCTCAACTTGTACAAGTACAAGGGCCTCCGAGATTTTTCGCCCTCATCCGAGAAGGCTAGGTGTTAGATCTTTACCTACCATAAGATCAATGTGGCTGAGAGATAGCAGTAAGAATACCACAGAGTAGCAGTAGAAAGACTGCAAAAAGAGCACCTGGAGCAGGGAGGAGGGAGGGGGTGGGAGGGGGCAGAGAGTGTAGACGAAAGCAGACGATAGAAAATATGGTTAGAAAGCAGAAAAGGACGGATGTGAAAGGAGAACATTTTAAAGAAAATTTCCCGTCTCTGTCAGGTTTCGAACCCTGGACTTATTGAATGAGAGAGGCGAAAACCTTAACCTTTAGACCACGAGAACCACCCCCCCCCCCCCAAACCAAGAGGTGTTATCAAGAATAAGACAGAACACATTATTGAGAAGCTGCTGTTGCTGATGCCTTCGTCAAGACAGGCCTTTGAATGAAGTACCACGAGTCAGAGAAGAGTAGAGACTTCTGAACAACTGGGGCTGACTTGAGGCTGAGGTGAGTAGCCTACTACTACTAGCAGTCCATTAACATATCAGAATTCTGCTCCAAGAATCTATTTTGAAAATATTTTGATGTTGTGAAGTACGAAGTATGAAAAAATAAAGTGTTTTTTTTAAATTATAGAAAATATGAATCCTATCATTTTTAATGTGGCAGTAATAAATATTTGCTGTGCTTCAAATTCCTTTCTTATCTCGTGACACCAAAATTGCAACGACAATCGTAAGTCTGTAAATCAAGTTTAAATCAACGCAGAGGGAAAACGATGAGAATCAATACTTCTACAAACACACAAACTTTTTTATGTAATACGTATCTTAGGATGAGAAACTTCTTGTTTCTGTTTGTAACAGTCTGTACACAATCATCACTGTCGACGATGCGTCACAACTTGACCATCACCCATGCCCGTAACGATTTAGGAGTGTAAGTTTAAATATATGTGTAAGGGAGAACGACGCCAACCATACCATTCGTCGTTTCTGCGTACATCGCAAGGCTCACCTGCAGCCACGCAGTAGTGTAAGCGAGAAAGACGAATGTATTGTCAAACAACTTTGCTTCTTTTCAACCTGAACCATTCAAACTTTCTAGAACAGGTTTATGAACACCTTAACCTGATCTCAGATGAATTTTAAGTTAAAATAATGTTTTAACATAGAAGAATTATAATTATTCATTAAGTGAACATGTTTTTTGCCTCTCCAGAAAAATTTGCCTGGCAACCTGCACAGGACCAATGGTTATCATCTTCCCTTACGATGCCAGAGCTGGCCAACATTATGATGAGACCTCTCAGAAAAACACAGGCCTGGGATTAAGGCTTTCTATACAGAACCAACTGCTTTTCTGGGGAACTTCATCCTATACTGCATCCATTGTAATTTTTCATCTGGTAGGTATTCAACACTAATAATATAATTCAAAGCCAATGTTGAGAAGCAGTTTATGATGAGTCAGCACAATCATGGCCCCAGTTTCAGTATGGTTTGGTACAGGTTTCCCACCACCATAAACACAATACAAGCTCATATGATCATATAATAGGCGCAACTGTCAAATTTGTCACACTTCTCTGATACTGATAGGATAAGGTCAAGGGGGTGAAGAGAGAGCCATAATGAAACCTCATTAAATAACACAAGTTTAAGAACGTTCAGCAGGAGATTCGAGGGCGGATCATTCACATACTTTACCAGCATGTAACAAAATGATTCAATCACGGTGTTCACAGATAAAGACAACAGAAAAATAAACTATTCAGAAGTAGAAGGGGCACACTGTAGTACTACAACTCAAAGCCACACTCACACATCACACACTACACACACATATATCAATCACCCACCCACTAGTGAACACACAATGAGGCACGCACTGCACGCAGCCACATTCACTACCCATGTCAAGACTTTTTCTTCTCCAAGTTCTTGGCCTGCTGTACCAGAGCGCTCATTAACATTCATCAACTCAAAACCACACTCACACATCACACAGTATATCACACAGTATATCACACATACAACGATGAACACACAAGGAGGCACGCAGCGACTTCTTTCACTACCCATGTCAAGACTTTTTCTCCTCCGAGTTCTTGGCACCCTTATTTGAAGGAGCACACTGTACCACAGTGACCATTAACACAAGCCAACTCAAAACCACATTCACACATCCCACTACACACATCAATCACGTACCCAATGATCAACAAACAATGAATGAGGCACACACTTCGCGCAGTGACTTCTTTCAAAGCTACCCATGTCAAGACTTTTTCTTCTCCAAGTTCTTGGAACGGCGTCCCGCCATCTCTCCGAGCTTCTTCTCCAGCCTGTTCTCCAAATGCGCCCGCTTGGTCTGATCCGGCTTCCTGTTGGGCACGCCGCTGCCCTGGTGCAGCACGCCGTCCCTGCTGATGATCCGGCGAGCCGCATCCTTGGCCGCAGATCCGCATCCGTGGATCTCTGGCATCAAGTGGCTGAGGCAGAAGCGGCGCGTGCAAAAGTCGCAGTGTCTCCCCAGAGTGTTCGTCAGCGTCTTGCACTTCTTGAACGCGCACTTGCTGTCTAACTCCGTGATGCTGGCGATGAGACCCTCAAAATCGTCGTCGTCGATTTTCTTGAGAGCGTCTGCTGCCTTTTGAACGTGAGTTTCTTTCGGCTTTCCCTTTTCTTTCTGGTTCTTTTTCTCCTTCAGACGCATGTCTTTCTTTTTCACGCTAGCCGACGATGGCTTCCCTTGCGCTTGACTTCTCTCCCCTGTTCTGTCCCCTGAGCTTACGTCACTGGACCCCGCAGCCTCTGCTCTGACTCGTCGCTGACAATGCAGTTCGTGTAACGGTAGGTTGGCTTTAAGAACTTCCTTCTCACACACAGAACAAGCTGACTTCTCCACCGCAGCCTCACTACTGGCTCCTAAACACGTCTCCCCAATTTTACCCGCATTTTCCCCCGATTTTTGGACACCCTTATTGTTTTTTCTCCCTTTTTCCACTTTCTTTTCCGTCGTATTTTGAACATTATGTGAGATAAGATCTTGACTGACTTGATCTTGATCTATAATAGTCCTTGCACCCTCGGTAACACCTCTGTCTCCTCCATCACACATATCTGAATTATGTAATTCAACTTCTTTACAATCTGAAAGACAGGTAGTATCACTAGTAACTGATGACATTTTTTTTCCAGTGCCAGATGATTGCTTATTATCATTTGAGAATGAGCCGTTGCCAACAGTTCCGCCACTGCGTTGTGAGCCAGTCATATCTCGCTGACCTCCGTGCGAGGGAGTTGCACACATGGGCGTTGTGTCAACATCAACAACTGACGAATCCGCAGTGGCGTCTGTTGGTGTCAGATTCCCACTGCTTGTGGAAGTGTTCACTGTACCGTCAACGAGGCCGGAGGAGGACTTTGAAACTTGAATATGCCGCTCCTCGCCTTCCCCCACACTGACGTGACAGAGGCCCAGAAGCTGGGACACCTGCAAGACATGAATAGTAGCCTTGGTTTTATGTCATTTCTTTTGATTCAATTCACAGATGTAATATAAGCCAAGATCTATTTCTTTGGATTCAATTCAGAGATGTAATATAAGCCAAGATCTATTTCTTTGGATTCAATTCAGAGATGTAATATCAGTCAAGATCTATTTCTTTGGATTCAATTCAGAGATGTAATATAAGCCAAGATCTATTTCTTTGGATTCAATTCAGAGATGTAATATCAGTCAAGATCTATTTCTTTGGATTCAATTCAGAGATGTAATATAAGCCAAGATCTATCTGCTTTTAAACCTGCAAGACATGAACACTTGTTTGAGTCTTACATTTCTTTTGATTCAACTCAGAGATGTAATATAAGCCAAGATCTATTTCTTTTGATTCAATTCAGAGATGTAATATAAGCCAAGATCTATTTCTTTTGATTCAATTCAGAGATGTAACATAAGCCAAGATCTATTTCTTTGATTCAATTCAGAGATGTAATATAAGCCAAGATCTATTTCTTTTGATTCAATTCAGAGATGTAATATAAGCCCAGATCTATTTCTTTAGATTCAATTCAGAGATGTAACATAAGCCAAGATCTATTTCTTTAGATTCAATTCAGAGATGTAATATAAGCCAAGATCTATTTCTTTTGATTCAATTCAGAGATGTAACATAAGCCAAGATCTATTTCTTTGATTCAATTCAGAGATGTAATATAAGCCCAGATCTATTTCTTTAGATTCAATTCAGAGATGTAATATAAGCCCAGATCTATTTCTTTGATTCAATTCACAGATGTAATATAAGCCAAGATCTATTTCTTTGATTCAATTCACAGATGTAATATAAGCCAAGATCTATTTCTTTGATTCAATTCACAGATGTAATATAAGCCAAGATCTATTTCTTTGGATTCAATTCACAGATGTAATATAAGCCAAGATCTATCTGCTTTTAAACCTGCAAGACATGAACACTTGTTTGAGTCTTACATTTCTATTGAAGCAATTCAGAGATGTAATATAAGCCAAGATCTATCTGCTTTTAAACCTGCAAAACATGAACACTTGTTCGAGTCTTACATTTCTTTGGAAGCAATTCAGAGACACAATATAAGCCTATCTGCTTTAAAACCTGCAGGACATGAATATTTGTCTGAGCTTTACACCATTTCTTTTGATACAATTCAGAATGTGTAAGACACATGACACTAGCCTGCCTGTTTTAATACCTGCAAGAAATGAATACTTGTCCGAGTTTTACATTTATTTTGATGCAATTCAGGATGTGTAAGAGACATTGAAAAAACCTATCTGCTTTAAAATTAATACCTGTAGCTGCAAGATATGAGATAAATTTCTACACTCCTTTTAACATCAAAAGATTAGTGACAAAACTTGCAAATTAAAGAACATCGCCAAAAGTGATAAAAAAAAAGGAAAAGTGTAAGCCACATCTTCCTCTTTTCTTCTTCTTCTTCTTTTTTTCATTGTAAGGTGCCATCAAGGTTGTAGGAGCAGAAAGAAGGGAAGAAGCAAAAAGAGAAGACCCTCACCTCATGTACAACCATACGATCGTGGGAGTTGAGCGACGCGGGGAAGTGGAGTGTGGTCTGCCCTGGGTCTGCCAGGAACTGCTCCAGCTGCTTCCTGAACTCTACCGCTTTTTCCTCAGACGACTTCAGAGTTTTCTCCCTGACAAATATACCGGACAAGCAAACAACTAAGTACATCATAAATACAGTGCAGCCTCTCTGTAACGACCTTCAGTTTTAACTTTAGTTAGTTTAGTCTTAGTAAGAGTTTTACGGTGCTCGCGACTGCATAAGGTTATATGAGCGCAACGACCTTCCATATAACGACATCCTCTATATAGCAACATTGTGCCCAGGTCTCAGATCTTTTCCTTAAATATATCATTAGTAATTTTTGGTTGCCTCTCTATAACGACATTTTTTTGTGGTCATGACGATGTCGTTATAGAGAGGCTGCACTGTATCAGTATTTTACCAGCGCAGCTCAAGACTTTCAAACACAACTTTACATTGACTCTCTTTGCATTCTAATTTTGTCCATCTCAATCTCCTGAGAGAATATACATATACCAACCTGTACATACCTACATACCTATAAAGTATTTAATCAAATGATTCAGGTATTTTATATAGTCAGCTAGCTGTACAGATTACTAAGTCAAAAATTTTGAAACATTTTTACATTACAGTTCTTTAATCGACAGTGTCTGATGTGAGTGCTTTGAGGAAAATTTCGTAGAAATTCAAATTCTGAATGTGGAAAAAAGTAAGAAAAGATACACAGCATAAGTACATTTTAAAAAATAAATAAACAAAATAGCTTTTTTTTCTCTCTTGAAAAATTTTGCTTTCTCAGAGCTCACTCACTTTGCTGGTCTTTGCTGTGCCTTTGATGAGGACTGATTACTTCTTTTATCCGTCTTTTTCTGAGGAGCGTGATCGATGGCATCGACAAGTCGCGCTGGTCGAGAGAATGTGCCACTGACTTTGCCATCTGAAATAATACAACAAAAGAGCAAGTCTCAGATCTTGGTTTACCGTTTAAGACAGCGCTAGCTGCAGAAATCCAACAGCTGCTTCAGCTGTGTATGACAAAGTTGGTTTTCTCTGACCGACAGTGTTTACAACATTTTTTCAAGATTGTCAGTGGGAAATGAATGGATGATGGATGAATTAAAAGTGCCCGTGCATGTGTGCGTGTGTGTGTGTGAGCGTGTGTATGAATGTGAGTGTGTGTGTGTGTGTGTGTGTGTGTGTGTGTGTGTGTGTGTGTGTGTGTGTGTGTGTGCGTGCGTGCGTGCGTGCGTGAGTGCGTGTGTGTGTGTGTGTGGTAGGAGGATAAGGGGCACAAATATGTAGAAACATAATTCTGCAATATCAACAATAACTATGTTTTAGACTGTGCAGATGTTGAAATAAACCATTTGTCATCAAATTTTCCCATCCTGTGTCTTCATGGTAATTGAATTCCTTCTTCCTGCTTCATAAACTCATTATGGTTTTTAACCTAAACAAACAGACAAGAAATATCTCCAAATGACAGGTGAAAACTTTCCTTTCATAAAAACAGATAAAAATTTTCCCACTAAAACTAAAACAGATAAAACACTTTCCTTCAACACAAATGGATTAAAATTTCCCTCAGAGACATGAAGATTTTCCCTTGACTCAAAAGAATCAAAACTTTCTCACTAAGACAGATAAAGATTTTTCCCTAGATACAAACAGATCCGAATTTTCATACTAAGATAAATGAAGACTTTCCCTCAACACAATTTGATTAAAATTCCCCCCCAAAGACATATGAAGATCTTCCCTTGACACAAAAGAATAAAAAATTTCTCACTAAGACAGATAAAGGTTTTTTTCTCGACACAAAAGGACCAAAATTTTCATAGTAAGATAGATGAAGATACTCCCTCCTAACAAATGGATCAAAATGTGAGGCAGCGTGGTGGAATCAGGCTCTCGTCAAGCTTTGGACACGTAGAGTTATAGGTATTATCTTAAAGTTTGTTCACTTGTCTTTATTTGGATGGGAAAAAAATCCATTTATCTTGAATACAAGTCGAAATATTTGCAAAAGAAGGAGGTGAGGGTCACTTGTTTTCTGAGATAAAATTAGTGAGAAAAAGGCCGCCAATGATTTGTTATGTCCTAAGCTTAAGAGTCCGCGGTAACCGAAAATTTACATTTTTTGTGCCTTTAATCAACGTTTTTCAGAAACATTCACACAGAAATTAGTTCTTTCATGGACATGAAAGGTGAAAGGTGTTGAGCCAAAAAATAAAAATTTCATAAAAATTCATAAACCTGCAGAAAAATGAAAGTTTCTTCACTTTGATTATTTTGACGAGAGCCTGATTCCACCACGCTGCCTCACTAAATGTTCCCACTAGGACAGATGAGGATTTTTCCCAAATAACAAACGGACGCCTCACCTTGGATATACTGATGCGCCGACCACACTTCCCCTTTGTCCATCATGTAGTCAATGAGCGACTTGATGAACGCGTCATGGCTGACCGTCTCGCTGTCACAGACGACCGTCAGGTGACGTCTGGCACGTGTCACCGCCACGTTGATGCGCCGACGCTCTGCCAGGAAACCCACCTCACCTGTCACAAAATAAATAGATAAATAATAATAAAGAGATTACACTTTTATTGATCCCAGAAGGGCAATTCGGTTTAAAATAATATACAATACATACATACATACATCCGTAAACACATACACATACATACATACATACATACATACGTACGTACACACACACACACACACACACACACACATACATAATTATACATACATATATACATAAGTACATACAAATATACATACATCCATACACAGTATTACATCAATACAGAACAATTTCACAACCATGCCAGTGCTGGTCGCCAAATCCATTGAGTCATCACTGACACAAAGCATTTGAAAATCTATTGGGAATAATAGTCGGGCTCTTTTTGGGTTTCACTTTGCGAGACAGAACAGTTTGAGAAAAGTTTTGAGTAGTGTAATGCAGAGCTGGGACTTAACCTGGAAAAACAACAAGTACAGTCAAACCTGCTCTAACCGCCACCTGTTCAAAACAATCAACCGTACAAACGACCACTTCCCACTCCCCCCACCCCTAATAGCATTTTTTTCTAAACAATTATAATGACACTGCATAAAACCATCCACTTGTCTAAGACAACCACTTTTCTCCTCGACAGCAGGTTGCTGGCCTGGATTATTTCGACCTTATATGTATTTTGTATTTTCAATAACTAAGAAAATACCGGCAATTACCAGCATCAGTAGCTCTTTGTTGCAGACAGAAGGCATTTCGTCCATTCCCAAGTAGAGAGGAGAAGTTATTTCATCAAGTACCTCCAACTGTCTGTTTATGAATGTATGTGCCACTCAGTGCGATTTGTCCGGAACAGGCAGGGTAGAAGCAGCCCACCTCCCAAATTAACTATAAATGTGCTGATGAGGGCGTCAGACATTTACATCTTTTTTTTTTTCTCAACCCAAACGTTTAAGAGGAAATCTGCCCAACTTTCCACTGTATCTCAGAGTCTAACAAACAATTATATCGCAAGGCTTAACCTAATCATTACATCACAAAACCCAACCCTTGCACCATGAACCTCACCATCACAACATTACTTCACAAACTCTCTATCAAAGCACAATGTCCACGGAACTCGGACTGTTTCCATTTTCCCCAACAGCTCTGCAAGCTGCTTGCTACAACATATTTGAGCAAAGAATAAATATCCCAACATTATCACTTTCTGTTTTGTGTCCTGTAAAACTACAGAACGACTTGTTCATACAGTCAGTTTCTGACTGAAACTATTTATTGTCCTTTATTGTTGGGGGCAGCTTCGGGGAGTGAGTGTGAGGCAGCAGGAATGGTAGATATGCCACAAACTTCTATAATTAATAAAAGATGCGAGTCTCCAAACACAAAAAAGCCCTGTATGACTGGTTAACTTACCGTTGGAATTACTCCGAACCATAGAAATGATCACTGCCTCTTTCTCGCGACCTTGAAACCCGTCTACTGACTTGACTTCCAAATCTGGATACCGACCCAAGAGACGAATCCGTAAGAGGTCAACCTAGAAGAAGGACCCAAACAAGTATAAATGAATAAGTTAAAAGTAGTTTGAGAAATCATTCGTAATTATACAAAATAACTTTGTCAATGGCTACTTTATGTTAATCTACCGTCTCACTCACACCTCGCAGGACAAACTGTTACAGCCGATGCTGTGCATATTGTTATCATTGACACATTTGTCTCTACTGACTCATATCGTCCCTTCAGAAAAATGTAGTCCAAAGTGCACTCTTTATTCAAGAAAACTTTGGACAAGACAGTTTTGATGCGGCGATAAGGAAAGTCACAGCCGCAGAAAAAAATAACTGTGTGGCCCCTAGAAGCTTTTAAAATTAAATTTACAATTTCATTTCTGTCGCAAGCGTGGTTTTATGAAATATGGAAAACAAATTTTCGGGCCTTTTTCTTTTAAAAAATAATGCGTCAGATGCTGTGCCTTCTAAAGTGTATTAACTTTGCTTCTGCTACACCCAAATAAAGAGCAACTTATGTACAAATTTCACAGTGTACGCATTTAAATACAAAGAATATAAATTTTAAGAAAAAAAATTCAGGACCTGAAAACATGTTCTTGGTGTGTGTATTTCATACATATGCGTGTTTGTTATGTGTATTCTAGACTGAAGATTGTTAATTAAGTGCACAGAGCTTGCTGTTGAGCTGGGACACACACTACTCAAATTGCTACCTCAGAATTACAAAATTCTATCTGCTCAGTACCAAGTGTGGAGAAATTTGACGTAAAAATTTTTGAGTTTCACAACATTTTAAGCTTTTCCGAATGCAATTCTTTTGAATATCTTGATAACGACTCTGAATAATCTTATAATTTTGATAAAGTAGATAGAACACTTGGCTTCTGACATCATGGTCAATCACATTAATTATGGTCTCAAAACAGACAAAAATGTCAGATAGAACTTTATAATCCTGAGGCAGTGAAGTGCCATTTATCTATTATAACTACCTGCAAGTTGTAGGGAGCGATGACGGCGATGTCCACAGGCTTCAGCCCCAGGTCCACCAGCTCCTCCACACGAGCCGCCACTATGTCTGCCTCGCCTGAAAAAAAAAAACAATGAAAAAAACTTTGAACAGCAGTCAAATACACGGCTAAGAGCATTTTCAAACAGAAAACGAGTTTGAGCTTGAACACAAAAAGAAAAAAATCACACTTCGCAGCTTTTTAATATAAACAAGTTTATCTTTTTATTTTTAGTAAGAGTTTTAGGCAACATGCAACACAAATGGGTCATTAAATCGCCAAAGATATAGCTGTTACTAGAATGTAACAGACAAAGGAAGGGACGGAAGAAGACGAAGACAGGGAAGACTGGAGAGAGAGAGAGAGATAAAGTGAGATAGAGAGCGGGGGAGGAAGAAGGGATTGAGAGACAGGGAGGGCGGGAGAGAGTAGGGGAGATAAAGAGGGGGGAGGGGGAGAAAGGAAGTGTGGGGAAAGACAGAGAAAAAAAGAGAAAGAAAGAGACAGAGTTCGTCAGAGTGGCAGAGTGTGTGCGTGAGAAAGAAAGAAAAAGATACAAAGAGAGTAAGGAGGGGGAGGCCGAGATGGAGACAGAAAGAGGGATGAAGGGGGAGGCAAGAGAGAAAGAGGGGTGATAAAACGGTCAGAAGGTGGGAGAGACATGAAAAGAGACACATGTAACATGGAAATGATAACCTACTGAAAATATTTTACACGGAGGTACAGCCATTCTTTATTCTTTTATTTTTTGTTGTTAAAAGCAACCTCATCATCATCATCATCAGTGCCTTTCTTACTCTGGGTCGGGGTAAAGGCCACGAACAAAACACTTTCTACCTTTCCCTATCCTAGGCTAGCCTCTTGCCATGTCTTCTCACTTTTCTGTAAATTTCTGCGACTCTTCTCCAAAATGCAACCTTCCTCTAACCCCCCAAAAGACGAAGAATAGCACTATCCAAGCTTAGATTTTTTTCCCCGCAGGTTACCACTCCTGCGTTAAATGCGTCACTTTTTGTGGAATGGCCCATTTATTATTCCAGGAAAGGGTGAGTAAAACCAACCTTCGTTGCCCTTGGAGACCTCTTCAGGCAGATCCAGCTCGCCAAGGTCACAGCCGGCCGTGTCAATGAGGAGCAGAGGCGTGGCAGCCATGTCAGAGTCGCTCTCTCCGACTTCTTCCAGGTCACTGAAGCGTGGGTGTTCAATGAGTTGAGAATCATTTTGAAAGGTAAAGAAGGGGCTGAGGGGAGGCTTTTCTCTCACACATAAACGCACACGCACGCACACACACACACACACACACACACACACACAGACAGAGAGAGAGAGAGAGAGAGACAGAAACACAGAGAGAGACAGAAACACAGAAA